TGGACCTCAATTTTCACCAAAACAACAACCAAAACCCTTAGTGCACCTACAGGCTGTTTCTGGTTGACAGTTGATCGGATTATTTCTCGTCTGGATGCTTCCATTGATTTACAGTCCAGAAACCCAGGTCCTCCACAGACACCAAGCTTTGCCAAAGCATTTAACAAAGGCACAATGAAGAGACTGAAAAGACAACCTACAGGATAGGAGAAAATCTTTGCCAGCTATTCATCTCACAAGGGATTAAAATCCAGGCCAGGATATGCAAACATAAAGAGGTCAGAAATACAGACACCAAAAATAAATAATCTAAGTGAGTGTAAAAACAAACTGAATCGATTCTTTACAAAACTAAGATTGCCATCAGTTCTAGTAAGGGTTCTTTTGGAAAGGTCATCTCAGAGGACACTGTGCTGTCTCAGAAGCTCATCACTTAATATGATGACATAGCTTCAGCCCACATGACTCCAAGGCTTCCTGGTGTGATAGGAAAGCTATTGGTATCTAAGAACCAAGCATAGGCCAAACCTGCCAGATTTTGAGGACAGGAGTCAAATCAAACTCATGCTGGCATTCCCTGAAGTGCCTAATATTCCACCTGGCCTGGAATAATTACTGCATGACAAGATCAGCAACTGTCACCCCCAGGCTCAGTCTTTCCAGGCTCCTGAGAAATTCTTCTCTACCTTTGGCTAGGAGAGACATCCCAGGCTTCCTTCCAACTTAGCAATTAACCTCTGTACTGTCATCTGATATAGACCTACCCCCTTATTGTCCACCACTTCCTTGAGAGCAAAGACTGCAGGAGCACTGACTCCATTCTGGGTGGCCTTTAGACAAATGAAGAAGGGAACAATGACTGAGTGACAGAACGAACGAGGTCTCCCAAGCGTCTGGACCTGTTCTCCTTCCCCCTTCCTCTGTGAAGTGCACCCTCCATGGGAGTGTCTTGATTCTGTGTGTCCTTACACCCTTATTGACGCTTTCAGGGTTGTTTCTGGGGTTCTCACCCTAACATCTTCAGTGTTCATGTGAAGAGCATGGTCCCACTTGCATAGTGAGAGTCTCACCACAGAGACAGGGCCACTTATCTTTTCCCTTCCCCTCTTTCCAGAATAATAACCAGAAATTTTGGTAACGCATGGATGAGGGGGTAAATTCAAACACGAGGATCTCTAGAACCATCTTCACTCTAACATTTAGTACCTGTTGCTTCTGTGTGTTCTATGACACGAGATCATGTGTGTGCACATATGTATAAAATTATGTGCAGAGATGATGCTGTGAAAAAATATTAAAACATTAGATTTCTTTAAGGAATATTTACTGTTAAAAATAATTTACTTAAAAATCTGAGATGATAAAAAAAGCTTGATTTGAGGGGAAAATTTATCATAAAATAGTAAAACAAACAGCTCACTATAATCACTATCGCCACCTCTACCATCATCAACACTATCTTCTCCACTGCCTCTACCACCAGCACCACCTCTACCGGAACCATCTCCACAACTTCTGTCACCATCACCACCTCCATTACCACCACCTCTACCACCACCACCATCACCACCACCTTGACCACCATCCCCACCCCCACCACCTCCACCCCCATCACCACCTCCACCCCCATCACCACCATGGCCACCATGACCATCAGCTCCTCCACCATTTCCATCACCACCACCACCACCATCACCACCTCCACCACCATAGCCACCATGACCATCACTTCCTCTACCACCATCCACTATCACTTCCTCCATCACCACCTCCAGCACCACCTCCAGTCACAAAAGCTTTTCTAGAAGATACAGTAGTGTTTGTATTAACTGTTAAAAGAAAAACAGCGAAGTTGTCTTATTTAAAATTGTTGATATCCTTAAGCATTATAACTTATTAAAACTCCCAGTAATCTCTTTTTGATTAATCAAAAATAAAACTAAGTTATTCTTTCGATTGATTCAGAATCTGAAACAAGTGAACATCCCTAACAAAAGGAGTTAATACTAAATGTTTTTGAAGCGTTCATTCTCCAGAAGACTAAGGCGGTGTGGTATGCATTCCTGTACACAGCTGTTAGCATCAATACTGTCTCTTGCTGCTCTGAAAAGAGAATTTAGCAGCAGGTGTCTTTTGATTTCCTAAACAGGGACTCAGAATCTTCCATTAAAATTTGGAATACACACTTTCCTCATAGTTCCAACATGAGTTCCTGCTCACGGGATTTTACTGTTTTGTTTAGCCAGCCCCATTACCTCCGACACTGAATAGAGTTTTATATACTTATCTGATGCAACAGATTGATACTGCTTAATGCACCAAATCGACACTGTAGTGATATCTCATTTGTATTTTAATAAATAATGCTTGCCTGAAGATCAGGGAGTAGAACAGCCCCATTGGTCAGCCTTACAGACCAGGCAGCGGTGACACACACCTTTAATCCCAGTAGCCACACTAGTGTGCCGTAGAGACCCGGTGGTTGTATTGCATACCCTTAATCCCAGTCCTAGAGAGGAGACAGCGCTCAGACAGTCTCATTCTAAGGATTCCTGGAGTCAGTATCACCATTTCAAACTGAGGTACAGGTTAAGAGCCAGTGGCTGGCTGTTTCGCTTTTCTGACCTTCACGTTGAACCCCAATATTTGTCTCTGGGTTTTTACTAATTGTGCTACAGAGCATTTTCCTCTTCTGTTTATAAGGTCGCTTCTGAAGAAGGGGGTTGATCTTTGGTGAGCCTGGCTTGATAGGCTTGCCCTTAGTTGAAGCTCACCTCCGAGCCCAAACATGCCCACTCGCACACTCTTTGGTGGCCACACCAGTGGGGCAAGCACCGGAGGCCAAGGAGCTATCCGAGCCAAAATGAAAGAGGCGGTCAGTCACCAGCCCACACTGATGGGCATCTACCAATTCATCCGTAACATCCATTGTGTCCGTTGCTCAGCTTTGCCAGAAGTCGAACCACATTTGTTATCTAAACTCTTTGATAAAGAGTTTGACCAAGAATGATTAGAATTAGAATTCCAATCTAATTAGAAACACCACATTCTCAAAGGAGGGACACTCTCAAAACACCTACTGGTGCGATAGTACAAAAGCCTGTTTTCAAAGGAAACAGTTTAAGATCTCCTTAGGAGGCCAAACCAAAAGAACTCAGCTCCAGGAAAGAGTCCAGTGGGCAGCCTGCAGTGAGATTCTGTTGTTATACATGCATTGTGAGTGACGCAGCCAAGTGCAGTGGGACTCTGTTGTTATACACACACTGTGAGCAATGCGGGCAAGTGCAGTGAGATTCTGTTGTTATACGCGCACTGTGAGCGATGCGGGCAAGCGGGCGCTGAAGAAGAAGACCAGAGAGTGCAGAGTGTCACAGTGCTAATTAAGGGCCTACTGTGGCCAAGATTCTCTATCAGTTATATCTGGAGTGAAACCCTACCTGTGACAGGATGGCCTGTGGGAGCTCCCTGATGACCTGAAGGCAAATACTTTCCAATGAAATTCCATTGTGGAGAGTTATCTCTTCGCCAGCCCCTGGGGCCCACAGATTCATCTGCCCACACAGTAAATTCACCTGGCTCCAAGCGAACAGGAACTCAGAAACAGGTTCCAGCAACTACAGTCACTCATTCTCCAGATGTTCCCTGAGCCAGCCAGGTGGGAGGAGGTCAGATTACAGATGTTGGCAGTCCTGGCTTTCAATTTGAGATCTACTCTTGCCAGCTCTGGGAACCCAGACCCGTTTACTATTGTCAAGCGCCAATTTCTCCGTCTATGAAATGGGAAGAGCTGCTAGAGATGGGGAATATGGCAGGGCTCTAGAGGAAACAGGCTCAGGGGTTGGCATGGTCCCTTTACTGTGTGCATAGATGCCCTTGCTGGAATCCTCACCTCATCTTTGCAAGGCCGATCTACACTTTGACCGTGGCCACCAGGAGGGAAAGGAAGGACTTCCAAGGCAGAGGCTCATGGTCAATGCGAACCCCTGCTTTCTGGATTCCACCCAGCACTTCCCTCCAGGAACTGGCTCGCTCTGAGGGGCGTGGCTGGGAGGAGCAGAAATAAAGCTCCACAAATCTGTGAGTTGTAAAAACTCAGGCGGCTTGGGCTCCTGTATAAATAGTCGAGTCTGCTCCCAGGCTGTGAGAACTGGAAATCTGCACTCCCTGGCACAGCTGGGCCTGCATGCTCACAGAAAGGTAAGCCTGGGTTTCTTAAATATTTCTTTAAAAAAAAATATGTATATATACACACATATTATATATATATATATATATAATATGTAGTTGCTGTTGTTATTGTGTGTATGATTGCAGGGGTGGGGACTTATATACTGAGAGCAGAGGACAGCTTGTACTTGTAAGAACTGGTTCTCTCCTTCCACCTTTACATGAGCTCTGGGCATTGAACTCAGGTTCCTTAGAACTCAGGTCATGAGTTTTGCATGGCAAGTGTCTCCACCTGCGGAGCCATCTTGTCAGCCCCCTTCTTAAAAGTTGCTTTACCCACCCTGCTTCTCAGCTGCTGGGCCTCCCTGGATCTGGATAGCACCGTGGAGCCAGGAGAACTGTATCCCAATGCCCCGAGACCCAGATGTCTCCCTGGCTTATCTAGCCTGTGTCATCGCTCCAGTCCAAATTCTCTGAGGGTCTTTTCCTTTTCCAGCCCTATAGGTGGGCAGAGGCCTGGGCAGAAGTGAGTTCATAGCCATTTCCTGGACTTTTCCTACTTTTCAGAAAAATTCTCTCTCTCTCTCTCTCTCTCTCTCTCTCTCTCTCTCTCTCTCTCCCCCTCTCTCTCTCTCTCTCATTTTTTTTTAATAAAGTGCAGATAATAGGAACAGTGTGGTCCATACCAAAACTTTGGTTCCATACCAAACTTTGTACAGTTCCTTGTTTTATTGTTTCTTATTAATATTTTATGAAAGGCAGAATAAAGATGAAAAGCAAGAAGTGAGATGTAAGTGAGACGTAAGTACTGATAGAGAGATAAATTCTGGCTTCCCCCTCCACCCATCTCTGCCCAAGAAGGGACTCTGGGCAACTTGCTTATCAGTCTGAGCCTTAATTGTCCCAGTAGTTACCTGGGGTGTTACCTTAACATCTCTGGGTAAGACTCCTGTGGCTGTGGAAGAGGGGAGAGAATCAAATGTCGGGCACTGCTTAACACCTAGTAGACGGTGAGTAAACGCGGGCTTCTCTTCTGCCTTTACCTACAGTTTTCTTAGCGTGTTACTTAATGTACCATAGGAAATCATTTTAATTTTGTTTCTGAAAAAAGCATTAAGTTACTTTTTCCTGTATGGCTAACACTGTGCCACTGAACTCAGGCATGGCCTCGCCTTCAGCCTTGCAGTCTCTACACACTGAAGCTCATCCCTCTCCACCCTCTGTCCCTTGGCCCCATCAAGCTCAATGGCTTCCCTGACCTCCTTGCCTTTCTGGGCTCTTCCTCATGAATTTCCCCTCTAGTCCCACAGCTCCACCCAGTTGAACCTGGGCACGGTCAACTCTGAGTCAACATCTTTTCATGACACTTCTATGGCTCCGACTACATCCTTTCACAACTGGTGATGGTTGGTGCCAAAGCAGATTATGGGGAAGAAACCCAGCTCTCTCTGGAGCTAGAAAAGGGGTCAGTGATTATTTCTTTCAACAACTTCTAGAGGGGAAGAGTGTGGCTGTTTCAGGATTAAATAGGACTGAGAAGGGAGAAAGCCGTTTAAATTCCTCCGATTGTATTTTTTTTTAATTTCTCTTATTGAGCTATACACTTCTCTCTGCTCCTCTCCCTTCCTCTCCCCTCCCCTTCTGCCCTCTCCAGAGGCAGCGATTGTATCTTGTAAACTCTTTAAGGTACCCGCGGCTTTGTTCAGTGTTTTGTTATGTTGTTGGTGTTCAGTGATTGTTGCGTGGGTAGAGGAAGGGCTGAGAACGTGAGAAAATGAGGGAGTAGCTGAGTGAATGGAGGAGGGTCATGGGTGAGTTGTAACTTTATTGGAAGTGGAAATGAGAGCAGCCAGGTTGCTTGGCAGACCTCTCAAAGCAGGCAAACCTGTGTTGAAGGAGGCAGCCCACAGTCCTGCCCCATTGGCTGCTGCCATTCACTCTCCCACCTTTGTCAAACAGGTGTCCACCCAGGTGAAGCCATGAGGATCCACAGCCTCCTCCTGCTCTCCTTCCTTCTCCTGGCTGCTCAGGTGCTCTCAGAAAGGGTCAGAAAGGGAGCCAAGAATGCCCCACACAACACAACAGTGGAGGGTGCATCTGCCCCCTCGGGCAAGGCCCAGGATAAGCAGAGAAGCAGAACATCCAAATCCATGACCCACGGCAAGTTCCTCACCAAAGACCACGCCACCTGCAGGTGGGCTGTGACTGCGGAGGAGCTGGGCATCAGCCTGAAGGTCCAGTGCACTCAGGAAGATGGAGAGTTTTCTTGTGTTTTTGCGGGTGATCCAGCCGGCTGTCTTGAACATGACAAAGACCAGATCTACTGGAAGCAAATTGCCCGCACCCTGCGCAAACAGAAGAATATCTGTGGGAACGCCAAGAGTGTCCTGAAGACCAGAGTGTGCAGAAAGAAGTTTCCAGAGTCTAACCTCAAACTGGTAAACCCCAGTGCACCTGGGAACATGAATCCCAGGAAGGAGAAAGCAGAGGTCTCCCCAAGGGAACACAATAAGGTTCAAGAAGTTTCCTCCATGGGGCCAAACAAGGTCCAAGAGGACCTCGTGCCCAGTCCAGCTGTGACCCAGACGGTGGCCATCAAAGATCCAGAGTGCCTAGAGGACCCAGATGTGCTCAACCAGAAGAAGGTTGCCCTGGAATTCTGTGGGGAGTCTTGGCGCTCCATCTGCACCTTCTTCCTCAACATGTTACAGGCCTCGTCGTGTTAGTGAAGTTCAAGGGAGCAGCCTCAGACGTGAGGAGTCAGATCCCCAGTGTCAACTGCAAAGCTCCCGGAGTTCCCCACAAGATACAAACTTTCATGTTACCAGACTGCAGTGAAGTATTTAAACAGTTTTTGTAAACTTTGTTTTTGTGTTTTAGGATTTGCTTTTTTTTCTTTCACATCCTTGGATGTACTTTTCAGACTCTTTACCTCAGTGTGATGGTCTATGGACCGCCAATCTAGGTGCATATAAGGAGTGGAGCAATCCTAGTGAGGATTTCCACGCAAGGAATTGTTGGCTGTGTTTATCAGGATAATAAAGTTCTGGGCATTGTCAGAAACACCACCGACCACTGTTTCCTTTCTAGGCCTCTTGTTCTGAAAGAGCTTGTGGCTCATTGTCAACACGTCTCCAGATGTGAGTAGATGGAAGGTTGACTGGTTGACTTTAGGGTCTGCCAGTCCAAAGTTCTCCCCCCAGGCATCCATCCCATATTTTCTCTGTACCCACTGCCCTGTATTGTTTGGTATTTGTTGAAATATAACCACCAAGGTCTGTTTTCAAGTGGGATCCTCTGTGCATGGTGTCATGTACTGACATGTCAAGGTATCACAGATGGTGAAAGAGGAGGCCACAGTTTTTGGAACTAGGAATATTTTAAATTAATTTTGTTATTATCATTATTGTGTGTGTAAGGGTACACACATGTCATGGTGTGCATGGGGATGCCAGAGGACGCCTTTGTAGGGTTGCTTTCATCTTTGCACAGGACCCAGGGGTAAAACATGGGTCATCAGCCCTGTGAACCCAGCTGTTTTACTCCCGGGCCATCTCACTAACCTCAGGACCCAGTACTCATGTCAGAACTGCCCCATGTCCATTCACCAAATGGAGAACTGTGCTTACAGAGCTCACTGGGAACAGAGGTCTGCCGGTCAGCAGTGTTCTGCGGTAAGGGCTGTAACAGAAGGAGGTGAGTAAGTGCTGCGTGGGAAACCGGAGACACGGTGGTGGGAGATGTGGGCTGCGCTTGCCAGGGCAGCAACGGTGGAGCTCCACTCTGGAGAGCATATTTAATAATGATGGAGGGGCTGGAGTCATGGATTTGCATTTCAGACCACTGGCAGCTCGTCCAAAGGGCCTGAGTTTGATCTCCAGCACCCAGATGGCAATTCACAACCATCTGTAACTCCAGTCCCAGGAGATCCAACACCCTTTCCTGATACATAGACATAGATGGAGGTAAAACACTCATACATACAAAATAATAAAATCATATTAATGCTTTAAAAAAAGAATGAAATGAAGTCCAGTAAGACACCTTCGACGCGACAGCACATGCGGAAGTCCCAGAAGCTGGGAGGGGTCGGGTGGCTGGGTGACACACGTAGGCAAGGCTGCTCTTAGCTGCGAACAGCTAGTGGGAGAAAGGTGGAGTTATTTTTGAGTCCAGAGTTGAGGAGAGAGGACTTCCCAATGCCTTGTTACCTCCCACCCGGTGAAGAAAGGAAAGAGACAAAGATGGTAAAAAAAAAGGCCCCGCCCTTAGCACTTCTGATGCTGGCAGAGAGAAGTCTGTTGGCCTGCTGCCAACAGTCTTTAGCTATCATCACCCTCCCAGGACACGTGTCGAAGGATGCAGGAGGCGTCACAGTGACATTAGGAGGACATCAGGAACTTTGTAAGGCTCACAAGAGTTATATGACCTTCTAATGCTTGTGGTAACAGGACAGGTACCTGCACAAACTCGTGCCAGACAAAATCCTAGCCTAGAGAGAGGTGGGAAGAAAGTCCCAGCCCTAGCTGGGGAGCGATTCTCATTTGATAGCAGCAGGGAGGGAGAGCTTTCGCCAAGGGTGTGGCCCTTGGTAGGGCAACCACATTCCACTGAAAGGTCACACGCCCAGCTGTATAAGGGCTGCACAAATTGAGCTTGATTGGATTAAAAAAAAAAAGAGGACACAGAGTTGGGTGGGTGGGGTGGATCTGGATCTGGGAGTAGCTGGGGGAGGGGAGTAAATATAATCAAAATATATTGTCCAGAATTCTAAAAGAATTAGTAAAAAAGCAAATCTAAAAAGAAAAGTCAGTCACTTGCTACGGGCCTGGTTCTGTGCCAAGACTCTCCTGCAGTTATATCCTTTCACCCACTGTCTCATCCTTCGAAGGTGGTTTACGGAGATCCGACTCCTCCTAGGCGTGTTCCCGGTGCTGGGCACACAGAACACAGCACAGATGACTGTTCTGCTGCCAGAGCCCTCACTGAAGGGGAGAGCAGTGGCCAACAAATCCTTCAAGAGTGGGAGAGGGTAAGGGAAGTGGGGAGGGTCCTGGTGGGTGCGAAACATGGTAATAACCTTTCCGCGGCCGATGAGGGACCTCTCTCCGGAGGGGAAACTTGAACACAGATCCAAACACAGTGATGGTACCAGGCGATGTCCAGTGTTAAGGATGTGCTGGAAGGAACCGTCAGAGCAAAGGGTCTGGTGTCACGGGCGATTTCTTTGTTCTCTGCTAAGTTTACCCTCTTTTCCAGGCCCTCCCTCAGACTCAGGAGATAACAGCAGGGACAACAAAAATGTATCATTTTTACAACCTATTTTATGACATGGATCATGCTTGAGATCCACTAATGGAGTGTCCAAGACTGGAGTGCCATCACAAGATGGGGCCCTAGGCCTGGCTTGAGAACCTAACTATTAAGTCTCGAACCCTGGGAAGAAGGGCTGAGGTGCCTATTTTACATATCAAAGTGGACCTGGCTGCCAGATTCTCCCTCAAATCCTACCTGCTCCAGGGCCCTCCTGGTTTGGTTATACACCCCCATACCTGAACTCTCCAGCCTAGGGGTCCAGGCTGCTCTTCCCAATATAATCCAACCATTTTGGTTACCTGTCCCTTTTTGTACCTTTGCCCACTTGGCGGCTGCACCTGGGTTTCCTCTCTCCCTTCTCTCCTCCCTGTCTTCGCATGACTCGGGGTCGGGTCCACTCTGGACTCCCCCAGATGTCTGTCTGTAGCTATGCTCTCCAGTTTATCCACAACAAACTTTCTCCTCTGCCATTCTTAGGAAGAGTCCTCCCCTGCCCTTTGATTCATTCGCTAACCACCAACTTCAGGAACTGAACCAGACTATCCCTGCTTTAGCTTTGATGTTCTTTTAAAGACTGGCCCTGAACCCGGGGCCCTGTTAGGAGCTGGGGCTTAGTGAGAGTGGGTTAGGTCATCAGGGATGTGTCCTTTAAGGAGACATCGGAAAGCCAGTCTCTTCTTTCTCTTTACTTTCTGGCAGGCATCTGGTCCCATCACGATGTGTTGTGCCACCACAGACCCTAAAGGACAGGGCCAATGGGTCAGAGACCAGAACCTATTAAAGCAGGAGCCAAAACAAACCTTTTCTGTCACAGTAGGGTAGGTTGCTTGCTTAGTATGCATGTGGGGTTCAATCCCCAGGACCAAAATAAGATAAATGAACAAATAAATTACCCATTACTCCCTCCCTCTCCAGAGTGGGTGCCAACAGAGGTAACCATTTAGTCTGTAGTGTAAAACCAGACTGTAGAGGGAGGGGAAAGTTCTGTAAGGAGTGCTCTTTGATGGTGGGAATTGGCTTTCTTCTCTTTAATCTTAGCTGGTCTTTAGTTTTGTTGCTGTTGCTTGCTTGTTTGCTGTTAACTGTTCTTTGAGATGTAGCCTCAATATGTCGCCCAGGCTGTCCATAACTCAGTCTGTGGCTCACGCTGACTTCCAACTCCTAATTTTACTGCTTCAACCTCCCCAGAATTGGGAATTTGGGCATGCGCTAAGATGTCTGCCTTGGTGTTATATTTTTATGGAATCATAAATGGCCAGGTGCCACCATTAAAGATCACCTGACATTGTCCTCATTCTTTTATTTAATCCCTTAACAATGTTGCCTAACAGGACTCCTCAGCCTCATGTCCTGAATGAAGGGACTGATACTCAGCAAAGCTGAGGAGCTTCTGTGTCCCAGGAAACAGCAAAAGGCAGGACTTGTGGGGAGAGCACCAGCTGTAAGGACTCGGGAGTCCTTCTAACTGGGCAACTTGAGAAGTTCCTTCAAGAAATTGAAGACTGACAGGTTATTCAGACATGAGCCAAACCTGGATGTGAACAGCATCAATCAGCCCCCTTCCCACGTGAACCGCCTTCCAACTTTGACAAAGAGAAAATTTTCGAAGCTAACACTTGCATTTGTGTTCAGTTTTTCATTCTAATCGCATCCTGAGGGAAGGTTCTAATATTTTAAGAAAAGATAATCTATGCTTCATGTTGGATTCTGCCTAAATTGCCACTATATAGTTTCTCTGAGAACTTTCTGGAAATAAAATAAATGTCGTTTCTCTCTCTCTCTCTCTCTCTCTCTCTCTCTCTCTCACACACAGAGAGAGAGAGAGAGAGAGAGAGAGAGAGAAATAGCATGAGATTTAAGATGATTTCCCTCGATTGCAGCAGAGGTAAAGCTTTTAGGTATGCAAGGGGAGCTGACTGGAGGCATGCTACATCCCTGACGCCACTAGGAGCAATAGTATCTATCTGACCCATAATTCAGCAGGAGGACCCCTTCCTTCCAGCACCCCAGCTCTGTGTGGTAACTCACAGCAACACTAGTGCAGACTTGAATGGCTGGAATCAGGTACAGCTCACTTGGCCACCTTCCCATCCACCTTCTTTCACAATTCCCCCTACTAAATTGCTTTTGGCAGAATAAATAAGAGATATAAAATGTCAGAGATTTCCCACACAAGGGAAATCATGCCTTAAATTTAGCCACCCTCTAGTGTCTTGGTTTTCATAATATCTCCATGAACACCTTGAATGTCTTCCTCAACAAATTTGTCATACAACAAGAAAATAGTTATTGGAGTCCTTTCAAGTAAGGACTCAGGAAGGGAGGGAGATTTCCTAAAATGGCTGATTTGGGACCTGGAGGGTTGACTATGGGCTGTCCAGGGCATGTTTTCATAATGCTCTTGGAAACATATAAGATAGGTGTATGATCGTATGTGATGTATGTGGTAATGCAGACTTCAAGCCCGCCTGGCCCACCAGCACAGTGCTGGCATTCAGTGCAAGGCTTGCCACAAGATGTGTCTTATGAACATTACTTGAGTGAACGAGAGAAGAAATCCTAACAAGAACAAGGATAGACTTGAGAGTGAAAAGAAACTGGGTGGGTTGGCATTTCTGGTTGTGTCAGATGGGACAAGTTATTTCATCTTACCTTCTCAGCCACAAACTGAGAGTGGGAGATATTCATCTGATAAGAATGATAAGTAGTTAATATCAAAAGCACTAATCGCATACACCGGGCATATCATAAAGGACTTGCTATGGGTGAGAAGATAGTAGAGCGAAGAGGCAGTAAGGCTGTTTTCCAGGAAAGCAAAACTTCTCCTGCCTGTGAATGGAGTCTGGCTGTCCCAAGTCA